GCATCATCATCATCGTCAGCAGCAGCAGCATCATCATCATCATCATCAGCAGCAGCAGCAGCACCATCATCATCATCATCATCAGCATCAGCATCATCAGCAGCAACAGCCATCAGCATCAGCATCATCAGCATCATCCTCAGCATCAGCATCACTATCAGCATCATCATCATCGTCATCATCAGCATGATCAGCATCATCTTCATCAGCAGCATCATCATCATCATCATCATCAGCAGCATCACCATCATCATCATCATCATCATCATCATCATCATCATCATCATCATCATCACCATCAGCAACCTCATCCTCCTTCTCGTCCTCCTCCTCCTCCTCCTCCTCCTCCTCCTCCTCCTCCTCCTCCCCATCCGCCTCCTCCTCCTCATCTGCCTCATCGTCCGCCTCGTCCTCCTCATTATCATCCTCCTCTTCCTCCTCGTCCTCCCCGTCCTCATCCTCCGCCTCCCACATCCTCCTCCGCCTCCTCCGCTTCCTCCTCCTTCGCATCCTTCTCATCATCATCATCATCATCATCATCATCATCATCATCATCATCATCATCATCATCATCATCAGCATCATCATCATCATCATCATCATCATCAGCATCATCATCATCATCATCATCATCATCATCATCAGCATCATCATCATCATCATCATCATCATCATCATCATCATCATCATCATGATCATCATCATCATCATCATCATCATCATCATCATCAGCATCATCATCATCATCATCATCATCAGCCTCATCAGCAGCATCAGCAGCATCAGCAGCATCATCAGCAGCAGCATCATCATCATCAGCATCATCATCATCATCATCATCATCAGCAGCATCAGCATCATCATCATCATCATCAGCATAAGCATCCTCAGCATGATCATCATCATCATCATCATCATCATCATCAGCATCATCATCGTCATCATCATCATCGTCATGATCATCATCATCCACATCATCATCATCATCATCATCAGCATCATCATCATCATCATCAGCAGCATCATCATCACCAACAGAAGCATCAGCATCATCCTCAGCATCAGTATCATCAGCATAATCAGCATCCTCTGCATCAGCATCAGCATCATCATCACCATCAGCATCAGCAGCAGCATCATCATCATCAGCAGCATCAGCATCAGCATCGTCATCATCACCTTCCTCCTCCTCCTCTTCGTCCTCCTCCTCCTCGTCCTCCTCGTCCTTCTTCCCCTCCGCCTTCGCCTCCGCCTCCGCCTCCTGCGCTTCCTCCTCCTCCGCCTCCTCCTTCGCATCCTCCTCCTCCTCTTCCTACTCGTCCTCCTCATCCCCCTAGCCCCCTCGTCCCCCTCCTCATCCTCCTCCTCCTCCTCCTCATCATCCTAATATCCATCCTCATCCTCCTTATCCTCCTCCTCCTCCTCATCCTCCCCCTCCTCCTCCGCCTCCTCATCCTTCTCATTATCCTCCTCGTCCTCCTGGTCGTCTTATTGGTGGTATGATTCGTTGTAGTCTTCTCATTCGTATGAGTTTTCGCATTCGCAACATTATAGTAGTATAGCTGTGTTGGCGTAATAGTATTCGTACGTCTTATGAGTATTAATAGTATGAGTACTCGTATTGTTCGTAGTTGTTCGAATTAATCGTCGTATGGTTCGGTGTATTATTCGTATTCTGAATTTGCGTCTTCTTATGTGTCTGCTTATGATTAAGCTGATGTGCATGGTGTTGCGTATGCTTCTGCGTCTGCGTATGCTTCTGCTTCTGCGTCTGCTAATGCGTCCGCTTCCGCTTCCACTTCCGATTCCGCGTCCGCTTTCGCGTCCGCGTCCGCCGGCCGCGTCCTCCGTCCCTCCTCCCCTCCTCCTCTCCTTCTCCTCCTCCTACTCCGCCTCTCCTCCTACTCCTACTCCTCCTCTCGCCGTCCTCTCCCCTCCTCATCTCCTCTCCTCCTCAATCATCATCATCATATCATCATCATCATCATCATCATCATCATCATCAGCAATCGAAATCAAGCATTACCATCACCACACCATCCACCATCATCAGCTCATCAACATCATCATCATCAGATCAGCAAGCATCTTCATCAGCATCATCAGCCATCATCATCATATTATCATTTAATCATTCATCTAATCATCATCATTCATCATCATCATCTTCATCAGCATCATGCATTCAAACAACCTGATCACCTCATCATCATCAGCATATCATCATCATCATCATCACCATCATATCATCAGCATTCATTATATCATCATCAGCATCATCATTCATCCGCATCATCATCATCATCATCAATCATCAGATCATCATCATCAGCATCATCATCATCACAAATATCATCATCAGCCATTCATCATCAATATCATAAATAACCATCATCATCAGCATCATCATCAGCAGCAGCAGCATCGTCAACATCATGCAACATTCATCATCAGCATCATCATCGCATCAGCATCATCATCATCAGCAGCAGCAGCACCAGACATCATCATCATCATCATCATCATCACCACCACCACCCACCATCATCATCATCATCATCATCATCATCATCATCATCATCATCATCATCATCATCATCATCTTCATCTTCAATTCATCACCATCCGCCTCCTCCTCCACCTCCGCCTTCTCCACCTCCTCCTCCTCCTCCTCCTGCTCCTACTCCTCCTACTCCTCCTCCTCCTCCTCCTCCTCCTCCTCCTCGTCCGCCCTCCCTCTCTTCCTCTTCCTCTTCCTCCTCCTCCTCCTCCTCCTCCTCCTCCTCCTCCTCCTCCTCCTCCTCCTCCCTCCTCCTTCCTCTTCCTCCGCCTCCCACTGAGAAGCCATGGTTGGAACTCCCCACTGGGGACACGAAACGCGTGAGGCCAGTGCCGAAACGGGCGCGGGGTGACATTCGAGCACCCCCCCCCCCGTCTGGAGGCCGTAAATGTAGCTCCCACTGAGGGCACGGAGCGGCATGCAAGCACCCCCACCGAGGCCGTAGGTAAAACTGCCTACACTCATGAGGGGTGTGCCAGAATAGTCACGCAGACTGAGGGCAGTGGCAGGGAGAGATGGATGGAGGATGAGGTAGAGGTGAGGAGGTGGGACGCGCGGCAATGCCTACTCCAAGCAAGTACCAAAACACCATGAGGGTAGCGAAGAACAGTGAAGACGCAGTTTGTTTGATCAGGCTGCGGTTCTTGAAGAGTTTTGGGGTCTCTTGAAGCATCTCTCGTGGGCATCCTGGGTCAATTTGGAGTCCTTTGGAACATCGGCCAGGCTTCCTGGGCCATCTAGGAGGCCTCTGGGAGCTTGGCACCCCTCTTGGGCCGTCTTGGACACCTCGTGTTACCCGAAGTCCAATTGCTGAAACTCTTGAAGTCCAAAAGGCGGATGTTAGAACACACATGTCAGGAAAAAATATGAAGCGGCACTGCTGGAGCCCCTTGCTATTGTTGAATGCTTCTGTCGTTTACAACTACTTGCTGCTGCGTTATGTTGTGTGCTGCTGCTGCTGACTGCGTATTTCTGGTTACTGCCTTGTGCCAGTGTGTGGTGGTGCTTGCTGTCGCTTGGTCTATCTTTTTGTGGCGGCACACGAGGCAAGAAGGCCTCCATGTTGCAGCCTTGCCCTAACCAAATCTTGCACGCCGGTCCTTTGAAGACATGCGGGCGTGCAACTCTAGGCTCCGAGTGCTGGCCGAGATATGCTTCCGTATCCAGACGCCCACGCCCAGAGCCAAAACATGAACGGAACGCCCAAACCACGAAGGCACGAGATATGTGCAGCCATGATTGGGCAAAAAAGGTCAGGCAGTAAGTAGGTCACTGCATCCAGTACCTCTCAGGGGCATTTTCAGGGTGTAGACGCGGTGCACAGGGTGAAAGGGCTTCTACGCTGCATCCTTGCGCCACCTAGACTCCCGCACGCCAGTCCTTTGCGGGCACACGGTCGTGCAATCCCTGGCTCCCGAGTCATGGCCGAAATATGCTTCCACCTCCCCCAAGCCCGTGCCAAGGCCAAAACTTGAAAGAGCACGGAATGTCGAAACCACGACGGCACCAGATATGTGCATGCATGGATGAGACATTATAATGCAACAAAGTAAGTCAGATAGACTACTGCGTCCAGCAATTTGTGCAGCACGCGACCTCAAAAAAGACTTCTGAGAAAAACGTGTGCGCATATTGATCGAAGATCCGTGTACATTAGCCGAACATACTCGCCCGAGGCCTAGCAAATTTGACGTGCAGGGAAGACATTCCAAACATACACAGAGGTCCTAAAACATCGGCAGCTCGCGAGAGGATGTCCCCGACCGCTGGGCGCTGGGGATCTCAGCGATGCAGAGACCCGACGCGGCAAAACGATAGGAGCAACAAGTTCCAAAGGCACCTCGGACATCATCTCGGGAGACCACGAGGTGCCCCTACCCGCTGCTCCCCGAACCCCCTCCAGGAGTGCGCTCTGACCAGGACTCCGCGGGGCGAATCCGGCGGTGGCGACGAGGGCCACCCAGGAGGCCCAAGAAGGGGAAGACGAGGGAAGGAAGGGCAGCGGGATGGGTACCTGTTCCTCCTCAGAGCTTCCCGGGGCACCGCGTTGCATGCTCCTTCTGGGGACCTTCCCGGAGCCACTCGCTCCACTCGTGCGTCGAAGCTGCGTCGAAGCTGCGTCGAACCTGCGTCGAACCTGCGCCGAACCTGCGTCGAGCCTGAGTCGAACCTGAGTCGAATCTGAGTCGAACCTCGGTCGAACCTGAGTCGAACCTGAGTCGAACAGATCCGTTGGGTGGGCCCCGGGAAGGTCCCCAAGACGAGCGTCGAAACCGCGGGCGTGCTCGAGCGCTCTCTGCGGGTCCCGAAGCGGCCGCGCCGAGCGACGGCCGCAGCAGAGGAAGGCCACGGCGGCCCACCGCGGGAGCTCGCGCGCCGGCGCCGTGAGCGCACGGAATCCCTCGGCCAGGGAGGCCCGCCGCGCGGGCGCGGGCCGCCCTCAGGGCAGCGGCGGGGGCGGCCCGCCCATGTGGTTCGTGACCTGGTGGGCCTGTTTTCCACCACCACCACCATAAGTAGGAGGGGGAGGGGGTCATCCTCCTGCTCCTCCTCCTCTTCGTCCTCCTCCTCCTCCTCGTCCTTCACCCCCTTCCCCCCTCCAACTTATGGTGGTGGTGGTGGAAAACAGGCCCATCATGACCGTATCCCAGCAGTTCATCCACTCGTTGCTGCCCTTGAACGGGTGAAACGCCGCAGACCAGCCGTCGTTGCAGTTGACGCCGGCACAGACACCATCGCTGATGATGGAGAAGTCGTCCACGGGGCCCACACCCAGGTGGAGGAGACACTTGCCGAGAAAGAGGTCTTCTCCCCACGAGTACCAGTTCAGCTCGCTCCTGCAGCGATCCTTCCCGTCCTTGTAGGCCTGGAGGCCCTGCCTGGTAATCGCCTCCAGAGACCCAAACATCATCGGAAACTCTGGGTTGTTCCCGTCGCCCCTACAATTCCTGACGTACACGTTGGAGCCCGTCTGGTCCTTCACGTGATCCCTCAGCCTGTCCGCCACGATGACGGCGTCCGGGTCCGCCTTGATGCCCCAGTCGAAGTCCAGGAGCAGGGTGCGACCCAGGACCGCGTCCCACGCGTTCATGAACAGCTGCGCGTTCCCCGCCGTGCCGTCCTTCGAGACGCCCACGGGCGCGCCGGGGAAGCTCAGCGTGTTCACCTCGCCGAGGCGCCCCCCGGGGCCCTGGCCGACGCTCCACTCATCCTGGAGGAAGAGGACGAGGCACAAGCATAGACTCTCGGGGGTCCGCGCGGATGTCGCAGATCGGTGCTGGGCCCCCATGCCTGCGGCAGCGCCGGGGGCGCCGCCAGAGGACGCCAGCGCCGTTCCGAGAAATCCGCAGGGAGCTCCGAAAGTTCATGCTTCTGCAGTTCCCCTGCTTCGATCCTCGCTGACCACCGCGAAGCCGTCGCAGCCGAAGATGCCCGCGCCCGCCGCGAGCTGCGCCCGCATCACTTCGCCCTCGTAGCCCCACTGGCGGGCGACGGACCAGCAGAACAGCGAGGTCTCGCTGCGCGGGAAGGCCTTGCAGGGCCTCGGGCACTCCGTGTCGTTGACGTACTTCCAGAGGTACTCCTGGGGGGCAGAGGCTGTGCCCATTTCCACCGCACATCGGATTTTGTTCGGGCTCCCCCTCCCCATGGAAGCCCGACGCGCAGTGGATATACATACATATATATATATATATATATATATATATATACTAGAACCACGCGCGCGCTTCGCGCGCGCTTAGGTTCTAGCTAGGAGGCGAGCTTGAGTCAACGAAAGTCGCAGGGAAGGGGGCAGGGGGAAGAAGGCCAGAGAGCGCTGAAGGATACAAATACTGGAACCCTCTTGTGATTTTGTGGGGGGCCTCGTCCGGCCGCTCGCTGGGAGTTTGACGTAGCTTCTCGGGAGCCTCTGAACCTGTCGGGGGCCTCCTGGAAGCAGGTTCGAAGCATTTTGGGGGCCGATTTGGGGCTTCTCGGGGCCTCCTTTGGGCCTCTTGGGGGTCTCCTGGGGCCTCTTGAGGGGCCTCCTTGGGGCCTCCTGGCGGCCTCTTGGGGCGGAAGGCTCGAGCTTGCGGTTCGTGGTCCCCCTCTGGGCCCCCTCTTGGGCCCGTCTTGGGGCCCTCTTGGGCCATCTTGGGCGCCTCTTGGGCCGTCTTGGGGCCCTCTTGGGCTGTCCTGGGGCCCTCTTGGAAGCTTCTTGGGCCGTCTTGGGGCGGTCTTGGAGGCCTCTTGGGCCGTCTTGGACGCGGTGAAAGCCCAAGATGCGAACATGCGAAAAATATACGTTTTCCCATAGGAATGGCACGATTTTTGTTTCTTGGACCTCTCTTGGGGTGCCTCTCGGAACGTCTTGGGCTGATTTTGGAAGCCTTTTGGCGCCTCTGGGCGGCGTTTTGGCGCCTCCTGGGATATGTTGGGCCGGAAGCTCGGAATTCGAGAGTGGCTTTCTCCTTCTGGGACCCCTCTCGAAGTCGTCTTGGGGTTCTCTTGGGCCGTCTTGGGGCCGTCCTGAGCCACTCGTGCGCAGCCTTGGAGCGCTCCCGGAGGCCTCCTAGGCCGTCTTGGAGGCCTCTTGGGCCGTCTTGGACGCGGTGAAAGCCCAAGATGCGAACATGCGAAAAATATACGTTTTCCCATAGGAATGGCACGATTTTTGTTTCTTGGACCTCTCTTGGGGTGCCTCTCGGAACGTCTTGGGGTGCTTTTGGGAGCCTTTTGGCGCCTCTTGGCGGCATTTTGGCGCCTCCTGGAGCCTCTTGGGCCGGAAGCTCGGAATTCGAGGTTGGCTTTCTCCGTCTGGGACCCCTCTCGAACTCGTCTTGGGGCTCTCTTCGGCCGTCTTGGGGCCGTCCTGGGCCACTCGTGCGCAGCCTTGGAGCGCTCCCGGAGGCCTCGTAGACCGTCTTGGGCGCCTCTTGGGCCGTCTTGGACGCGGTGAAAGCCCAAGAGGCGAACATGCGAAAAATATACGTTTTCCCATAGGAATGGCACGATTTTTGCTTCTTGGGCCTCTCTTGGGCTGCCTCTCGGAGCGTCTTGGAGGCTTCTGGGACCTTCTTGGTGTCATGACAGGCGTCTTGGAAGGCATCTGGAGCCATCGGAGCGCGTTCCGAAGCCGCCTGCGAACGATCTTGGACGGCGTCCGGCGGTCCGACGAGCCTCCGGGCCCCCCGGGGCCCACATTTGTGGTCGAGGTCCCGGCCGCGGGCCCCCGGACCCGGTGCGCCTTTATATGTATATATATATATATATAAATAAATAAATATACTGAGAAAGAGAGAGAGAGAGAGAGAGCGAGAGAGAGAGAGAGAAAGAGAGAGCGAGAGAGAGAGAGAGAAAGAGAAAGAGAGAGAGAGAGAGAGAGAAATACAAGCCTGGCCCCTAGAGGCCTCACTTATCCATATCCACTGCGTCTCCGGCTTTTGACATCAATCCCGAAGAACAGGACGCAGTGAATATGATAAGAAGAAGCGCAGTGTCAGCCAGCGGGGACCAGAAACTGTAAAGTGTCGCAGTGTGGATGTGTGAGCTGTGTGATGCAAGCTATGCGGTGTATGCTATGTTGTGCAATATACGTGCTGCAAGCTAGAGGCGGCAACAAAGCGGCAACGGGCAGCAACAAACCTCGCCAGACCCACCCAGCGCACGAGGCGGCAACGGGCGGCAACGAGGCGGCAACGTGGTGAAGCCTCGCCAGACCCACCCAGCGCACGAGGCGGCAACAGGCGGCAACGAGGCGGCAACGTGGTGAAGCCTCGCTGGAAACACCCAACGCACGAGGCGGCAACGAGGCGGCAAAGAGGCGGCAACGAGTCGGCAACGAGGCGGCAACGGACATCACTGTGGCGAAACCTCGACCAACCCACCCAGCGCACGAGGCGGCAACGAGGCGGCAACATAGCGCGGAACCTCGCCAGAACCAACCAGCGCAAGAAGCAACAACGAGGCGGCAATGGGTGGCAACGTGGCGGAACCTCACCAAACCCACCCAGCGCACGAGGCGGCAACAAAGCGGCAACGGGCAGAAACGTGGCGGAACATCTCTGGACCCACCCAGAGCACGAGGCGGCAACGAGGCGTAACCTCGTCAGACCCACCCAATGCACGAGGCGGCAAAAGACAGCAACTTGGTGAAACCACGCCGAGCCCACCCAGCGCACGAGGCGGCAACGAGGCGGCAGCAAGGTGAAACTTCGCCAGGGGCCCACCCGGCGCACGAAGCGGCAACGAGACGGCAACGGGTCGGCAACGAGGCGGAAACGGACTTCAACGTGGAGGGACCTCGCCAGACCCACCCGGCGGACGAGGCGGCAAAGAGGCGGCAACGAGGCGGAACCTCACCAGACCCACCCAGGGCAGCATGGCGTAAACTCGCCAGACCCGCCCAGCGCACGAGGCGGCAGCGGAGCGGCATCGGGCGGCAACGTGGCGCAAACCTCGCCAGACCCAGCCAATTCCTGGGGGAGACAAGTAAGAAACCATATAAGTGATAGCACGGTCATGTGAACAGGCTTATACTTTGGGAGGTCCGCGCGGATTTTGGATCTGCTAGACCCCGTTGCCTTCCCGGCGCGCTGAGCGCACCGGGGGCGGCGCTGGAGGCGCCGCAAGGGGGACCGCGGCGCCGATCCAAGAAGTCCACACGGATCTCCCCCAAAAAATGTTCATACCGCTTGTGCCTATTCGACTCCTGGAAATCGTACGTGGACGATTTCTCCGTCAGGTTCGGGTACCACTCTGGATGCTCCCGGATGCCAGACTCCCTCGCGAACACCAGGCTCGAGTAGCATTTGCTGTTCACTGGCACCACCTGGCACTCGCAGGCGTCCAGGCACTTGCTTTTTTTCTCGTTCTGGTGCAGCCAAGTCTGGACCTCCTCGAAAGAGGACCACATGGTGAGGCCGTCACGGCTGCCTGGATTATCCCGGAGATCGTACAAGACATCCAGGACCTCCTTGTAGCAATCGTCGCCCTCCCCCAGCACCATGCACGGCGTCGTCGTCGTGGTGGTCGTGCTGGTGGTCGTGGTCCTGGTGGTCTTTGTGACCGTCTCGGTGGTCGTGGTGGTCTCCGTGACAGTTCCCGTGGTCTCCGTGTCGGTGACGAGGAACGGCGCCACCCGGCTCCAGCCCTCCCAGTCCTTCACCTTCTCCAGGCGCGCCTCCGCCCTGCACAGCGGCCCGTCGCAGGGCGCGGCAGCCGCCGCCCCGCCCCCCGTCGCGTTCTTCTCCCCGCCCACCAGCGGCGGGGAGAGCTTGCGGTCGGCCGCGGAGGGCCCCTCCTCCACGTCCTCCGTGAGCAGCCACAGGGCCGCCGCGACGGCCAGCGCCGTCGCCCCCGCGCAGAAGAGGCAGCAGGGCCGGCCGAGGCCCCGCCGGGGCGCGGGGAGGCGGGGCCCGCCCAGCAGCGCCCGGGCCTCCATGCCGCCCTCCTCGGCGGCCTGCAGGCCCGCCTCCTCGCGCGGCTCCATGGCTTCGGGCGACGGCCGGCGGCCGAGTGCGAGGGCGCGCTCCCCCGCACGGCACCCCCCGAGGCCCCCGCCGCAGGCGAGTCCCTGCAAGCCGAGGTTGGGACACGCAGGGGCATGCTGCTGCTATGGGTTCCCCTCGGAGGCGCGCGCCCGACCCGAGCAGGTAGATGATCCATTCGGTAGCGTATCGCCTCCCGAGCGGTGTGGCCAGAAAGCGCCCGCGAGGACGCACACACCATAAGATTTCTCGGTGCGCGCGTCGCCCCTGGGGGAGCGACGCACACATAGCATTAGTATGTTGGGGCGACGCCGAGAGATGGCTACGATGCCGCCTGGACCTTCTTGCGCGCCCCTTGGAGCCTGTTGGGCCATCTCGTGCACTTCGTCCGGCAGTTCCGGAGAATCGCGAAGCCTTTCGGGACCCTCTAGGGTCGTCTGGGGCCTCTCTTCGGGACCTCTTCGACCGGCTTGGGTGATGCCTGGGTGCCTCTCGAAGACCTCATGGGGATCTTGTGAGAGCCTTTTGGATCGCATTGGGGCGTCTCGGTGCGTCTTGTAGCCATCTGCGGGCTTTGTTGGGCCGTCTTGGTACTGTCTTAGTCCTGGGCCGTCTTAAAAATCATATAACGAAGCTACATTGGGCCGTCTTGGCCTCATCCCAACGCGTTCTTGACCCGTAATGGGGCCTAAAGGAGCCCCCTTGGGCAACCTTGGGTGTTTTTTTAGCCCCTCTCGGGCAAGATTTAGCCCTGTGAAGGCGAACAAATCCAAAGTGGTTTGGCAATCTAGATTGTCTGGGGCATCAATTGGCGCCTGTCGGAGCTTATCTGGAACCATTTTGTGATGATGCGCGTTGCTAATGGTTGTTTGCCGCTGAATGGGCCTTTTTTGTCGTGCCTCTGGGACCTCCCTGTTCCTGCTCGTTTGCGTTCGCAGCGATAGCCATCGTGTCGCTTGACGCATAACTCAGCAAACCCACGCTACATCTGCATAGCTTTCGCGGCGAACCAGCGAAGTACCGCCACGAAAACACGTCACATTAAAGTACACGCAGCGAGGACCGAATACATTCGAAATGTGTTTTGCGAAACCTGGCGAAGCAAATGCGCCGGCAGTGCTACTGTTTCAGCCGCATGCTGAAACTGTGCCATCAATCGCCACTGTTTGCTGCTGTTTGCCATATATCGCCGCTGTTTGTTGTTGTTTGCTGCTGCGTGTCCATGGCTGTTGCTTGACTGCTGTGTGCGGATATCTGCTGCCGTTTGGGCCATTCAAGACACATATTGGAACCTACGTTGTGGCCTTTCGCGCGTTCCTTCCAGCCTCGGCGAGGTTGTTGGGCAATCCCGAAGCCTCCCGAACAGGTCCGAGTTTAGTCCAGCAGCCAGTGCGGCAGCGGTTTAACCTGAGACTTCCTCACAATTAATTCAGGAATCCTGCTCTCGCCGAAATGCCAACTAGATGTTTGGTCTGGACGGACACAATCACGTGTAAATTACTCCGACGGTGGAACCCCACATGGGAATATGTTTAGTTTGCCCTTCGCCTTTTCCTCCTCGCCCCGGCGGACACCCCTCTCTCGCCCTCTCCTCCTCCACCTCCTCATCCTCCTGCCCCTCGAGCGCACCCAACTTCATCATCATCCTCATCCTCCTCCACTTCCTCCTCCTCTCCTCCTCCTCCTCCTCCTCCTCCACCTCCTCCACCTCCTCCTCCTCCTGCCCTCCTTCCTCCTCCTCCTCCTCCTCCTCCTCCTCCTCCTCCCCCTCCTCCTTTTATGTATCATCCTCCTCCTTTCCCTCCTCCTCCTCCTCCTCCTCCCCCTCCTCCTCCTCATCCTCCTCCTCCTCATCATCATCGCCCTCCCCCATACCCCTTCCCCCCTCCTCATCCTCCTGCCTCGCCTCCATGTGCACCTCCCCTCCCCCCTGGTCGGAGCAAACACATCGATTTTCCTCAGCGCCGTTGCCGCCTCGGCCAGCACGCGCGCGACCGCCGGCGGCTAGATCGCGAGGCCTTTGGGGCAATCCCGCAGGCGCGGTAGGACATCGACAGAGGACGCGGCCCCGGCGTGATTTTCCGCGTCGCAGACGAAGTTCCAGGGCCGAAAACAAGACCGCCTCCCCCCAAAAAACTTGGGTTAGTGGCGCCGTACCCACGAGCACGCAGGGCAGACTTTGCAAGGTTCCCCCCTGCGCCCGATTCGGCCTCCGATTGGCTACAACCGGCGACCCAGACGCAAGGGACCCCCACTGCGCCCGATTCGGCTGAAGATGGGTTGCCACCCCTAACTCGGAGACAAGGGTTTCCCCCCGTCCCCGATTCGGCCGAGGACGGGTTACCACCCCCAGCCAAGACGCAAAGGTTCCCCCCTGCGCCCGATTCGGCTGACGATGGGTTACCACCGCCAGCCTGGAGACAAGGGATTCCCCCTGTCCCCGATTCGGCCGAGGATGGGTTACCACCCCCAGCCCGGACGCAAGGGTTTCCCCCTGCGCCCGATTCGGCAGACGATGGGTTGCCACCGCCAGCCCGGACACAAGGGGTTCCTTCTGCCCGATTCGGCTGACGATGGGTCACCACCGCCAGTCCGGACGCAAGGGTTTCCCCCTGCGCCCGCTTCGGCCGAGGATGGGTTACCACCCCCGGCCAGGACGCAAGAGTTCCCCCCTGCGCCCAGCCACCGTCGTCATCCTCAATCCCTGTTCCCCCTTTCCTCCTCATCTGATGGGTCGAGCGAGTGGCCCTCTTAAGAGCACAGAAAAAACCCGCTCGGATTGGCCCGCGAAGGCTCGCATGACCTTTCATTCCTGAGGAGCCCAGCAATGACGACAGCTACGAGATCCCGAGGACGCGCTCGGATTCTAACATGGAGCTGCGGGCCCCATAGCGAGGGGGCTCCCGCTCGAGACTTCCTCGCGACTCACTCACAGACGAGGCTCCTGCCCAAGACTTCCTCAAGATGCAAGCCTGGCTGGGGAACGGAACCCAGAATTGGCAACAGGCTTAGGTTTCGCATAACCCGCTCGGATTACCAATATGCAGCGCGGGCCCCATAGGGAGGGGGCTCCCGCCGGAGATTTCCTCGCAATTCACTCATAGATGAGGTTCCCGCCGGAGGCTTCTTCAAGATAGAGGCGCGAGGGGCCCAAAAATGACGAAAGTTACAAGATTTGGATGACCCGCTCGGATTGCCAACATGAAATGCAGGCTCCATAGGGAAGGGGCTCCCGCTTGAGACTTCCTTGCAAGTCACTCACAAACAAGGCTCCCACCTGAGGCTTCTTCAAGATACAGGCGCGAAGGGCCCAAAAGTGACGAAAGTTGCAAGATTTGGATGGCCCGCTCGGATTGCCAACATGAAGTGCGGGCCCAGTAAGGAGAAGGCCCCCGCCTGATATTCCCTCACAATTCACTCACATACGAGGCTCCCACCTTAGACCTCCTCAAGATGAATGCTTGAGTGTGTGAGTGTGTGAGTGTGCGCGCTTGCGCGCGAGTGCAAATGAGCGCGTGCGTGATGTCGATGATGATGGCGACGATGATGAGTGGGTGAGTGAGTGAGTGAGTGAAGGACTGCGTGATGATGAAGACGCTGGTGATGATGATGATGCTGATGATGATGATGGTTGTGATGACGACGATGATGATGATGAGGGTGACGATGATGATAATGATGATGATGATGTGATGGTGATGCTGAGAGGTGGTGGGGGTGGGGGGTGGCGATGGTGATTTTTACGCGACCGAGGAACCCCACACACTTAATGTAAATATCGTGTGTTTGCTCTTCATTATCATATATGCGCAATCCTGCGTTCTAAACCCTCGTCGCGAATGTTGCCCTACATTGCCATCCAACACGCTATTGAGTGAACCTCCTCCCTCTTCCCCGCGTTCTATCCTTCATCGGGAACAAGTTCGAGGTGGTCACCGAGGTCCGCGCCCTGGGATCGCAACAACCAATGAGGCGATGCAAAACGATGTGCCACAGCTCGGGCAGTCAGGGGGGCCCACTGTGGAAGTTTGTGAAAATCACACCCCCACGCCTCCTGCTGCGTTCTCCCGCACCCCTGCCTCCCTTTCTGCCCTCGGTCGGTCTACTCTTTCTAGTCTCATGCAGTTGCCACGCGTCTGTCGCCGCGTCTCTTCGACGGATAATCTCTAAGGCGCGCGCGCAGAAGGCTTGCATAGCAAACGTGATACGCCTGCGTGCGATATGCGAATGCCCTTCGATGGAAAATCTCTGGGCTGCGGCTGCCACGACAACCAAAGCTGGGCGGACGCTCCGAAATCGTCCAGGAGCGGCACGGGCCGCGCGAATTCGACGCGACTGGACAGCGCTGCCTTTGTCGGAAAGACTATGGCGGCCGTGCGCTCCGACGACCTCACGCCGCTGGCAAGACCCAGTGGCGTTCCAGAGCGAGGGCCTCGATCTCCCGCGTCTCCGTGGCCATGCGCTCATCGAACTTCTGCAGGGCTTTGAGAGACCACCCCCTGCGCACCCCCTCTGGTGTCGAGAATATGTCATGTCTGCTGTGCTCTGGACGACCGTCACGGATAGCGGCCGCGGTGAGAGACCACCCCCTGCGCACTCCCTACGGTGTCGAGAATATGCCATGGCTGCTGTGCCCTGGACGACCGTCACGGATAGCGGCCGCGGTGAGGGACCACCCCCTGCGCACCCCCATACGGCGTCGAGAATATGCCATGCCTGCTGTGCCCTGGACGACCGTCACGGATAGCGGCCGCAGTGAGAAACCACCCCCTGCGCACTCCCCATGGCGTCGAGAATATGCCATGCCTGCTGTGCCCTGGACGACCGTCACGCATAGAGGCCGCGCTGAGAGACCACCCCCTGCGCACTCCCGACGGTGTCGAGAATATGCAATGCCTGCTGTGCCCTTGGGCGGCCGTCACGGATAGCGGCCGCGGTAAGAGACCGCCCCCGAGCACCCCCTTATGGTGTCGAGAATATGCCATGCCTGCTGTGCCCCTGGACGACCGTCACGGATAGCGGCCGCGGTGAGAGACCACCCCTGCGCACCCCCTATGGTGTCGAGAATATGCCATGCCTGCTGTGCCCTGGACGACCGTCACGGATAGCGGCCGCGGTGAGAGACCACCCCCTGCGCACCCCCTATGGTGTCGAGAATATGCCATGCCTGCTGTGCCTGGACGACCGTCACGGATAGCGGCCGCGGTGAGAGACCACCCCCTGCGCACCCCCTATGGTGTCGAGAATATGCCATGCCTGCTGTGCCCTGGACGACCGTCACGGATAGCGGCCGCGGTGAGAGACCACCCCTTGCGCACCCCCTATGGTGTCGAGAATATGCCATGCCTGCTGTGCCCTGGACGACCGTCACGGATAGCGGCCGCGGTGAGAGACCACCCCTGCGCACCCCCTACGCTGTCGAGAATATGCCATGCCTGCTGTGCCCTGGACGACCGTCACGGATAGCGGCCGCGGTGAGAGACCACCCCCTGCGCACCCCCTATGGTGTCGAGAATATGCCATGCCTGCTGTGCCCTGGACGACCGTCACGGATAGCGGCCGCGGTAAGAGACCACCCTTGCGCACCCCCTACGGTGTCGAGAATATGCCATGCCTGCTGTGCCCTGGACGACCGTCACGGATAGCGGCCGCGGTGAGAGACCACCCCCTGCGCACCCCCTATGGCGTCGAGAATATGCCATGCCTGCTCTGCCTGGGCGACCGTCACGGATAGCGGCCGCGGTGAGAGACCACCCCCTGCGCACCCCCTATGGTGTCGAGAATATGCCATGCCTGCTGTGCCCTGGACGACCGTCACGGATAGCGGCCGCGGTGAGAGACCACCCCTGCGCACCCCTATGGTGTCGAGAATATGCCATGCCTGCTGTGCCCTGGACGACCGTCACGGATAGCGGCCGCGGTGAGAGACCACCCCTTGCGCACCCCCTATGGTGTCGAGAATATGCCATGCCTGCTGTGCCCTGGACGACCGTCACGGATAGCGGCCGCGGTGAGAGACCACCCCTTGCGCACCCCCTATGGTGTCGAGAATATGCCATGCCTGCTGCGCCTGGACGACCGTCACGGATAGCGGCCGCGGTAAGAGATCACCCCCTGCGCACCCCCTATGGTGTCGAGAGTATGCCATGCCTGCTGTGCCCTGGACGACCGTCACGGATGGCGGCCGCGGTAAGAGACCACCCCCTGCGCACCCCCTATGGAGTCGAGAATATGCCATGCCTGCTGTGCCCTGGACGACTGTCACGGATAGCGGCCGCGGTGAGAGACCACCCCATGCGCACCCCCTTATGATGTCGAGAATATGCCATGCCTGCTGTGCCTGGGCGACCGTCACGGATAGCGGCCGCGGTGAGAGACCACCCCTTGCGCACCCCCTACGGTGTCGAGAATATGCCATGCCTGCTGTGCCCTGGACGACCGTCACGGATAGCGGCCGCGGTGAGAGACCACCCCCTGCGCACCCCCTATGGTGTCGAGAATATGCCATGCCTGCTGTGCCCTGGACGACCGTCACGGATAGCGGCCGCGGTGAGCGACCACCCCCTGCGCACCCCCTACGGTGTCGAGAATATGCCATGCCTGATGTGCCCTGGACGACCGTCACGGATAGCGGCCGCGGTGAGAGACCACCCCCTGCGCACCCCCTATGGTGTCGAGAATATGCCATGCCTGCTGTGCCCTGAGGACGTAAGGATAGCGGCCACGGTGAGGAGACCACCTTTTGCGCACCACCTATGGTGTCCGAGAATATGCCATGCCTGATGTGCCCTGGACGACTGTCACTGACAGCGGCCGCGGTGAGAGACCACCCCGTGCCGCCCCCCGTATGGTGCGAGAATATACCATGCCGGTGCTGTGCTGTACTGTGCTGTGCGTGCTGCGCTGTGCTGTTGTGTCTGTGCTGTGCTGCGCTGTGTAAGAAGGAGAGAGCGGGGGGAGGAGACGCGGTGCGCCGCGGCAGGGAAGGAAAACAGGAACCCCACGAAACATGTGTGGAAAAACACTCCAAAAACACTCCTGCGCACCCCCTATGGTGTCGAGAATATGTCATGCCTGCTGTCCCTCTGGTTCGAGAATCGTCATGCCCGCTGTGCCCTGGACGACCGTCACGGATAGCGGCCGCGGTGAGAGACCACCCCCTGCGCACCCCCTATGGTGTCGAGAATATGCCATGCCTGCTGTGCCCTGGACGACCGTCACGGATAGCGGCCGCGGTGAGAAACCACCCCCTGCGCACCCCCTCTGGTGTCGAGAATATGCCATGCCTGCTGTGCCCTGGACGACCGTCACGGATAGCGGCCGCGGTGAGAGGCCACCCCCTGCGCACCCCTATGGTGTCGAGAATATGCCATGGCTGCTGTGCCCTGGACGACCGTCACGGATAGCGGCCGCGGTGAGAGACCACCTCCTGCGCACCTTCTCTGGTATCGAGAAAGTGCCACGCCTGCCACGCTCTCCGACCCTGGCACCCATAGAGGCCGCGCTGAGAGACCACCCCCTGCGCACCCCCTGTGGTGTCGAGAAAGTACCCAGTATGGTGTGCATGCGTCTTGAATGTATGATGCAGTGAACGCGCCACGCGTGTCTCACTCGCGTGCCCTGCGGCTGTATGTTGAGAAAGTGGAACGCCTGTTCTGCGCCATGGCCCGCATAGAGCCTCCTGCCATGCAGTGCGAATCCTACACGCACGTATGTGATGGGGGGTACCTCATATGGGTGCCCAGTGTGTTGTGCATGCGTGTCGAATGTATGATGCAGTAAACGCGCCACGCGTGTCTCACTCGTGTCTCATGTACGTGCCGTGGATGTGTTGCGCGTAGGTGAATGGAGGAAGCAAGCGGAGGAGGGGAGGAGGGAGGAGGGGAGGTGTGTGTAATGAGACGGCGCGGGTGCGACGCGGCAGGGAAGAAAACCAGAACCCCACGAATCATGTGGGGAATAATGATGATGGTGATGATGATGATGACGATGGTGATGACGATGACGATGACGATGTCGATGGTGATGATGATGATGGAGATGATAATGATGATGATAATGATGAGAATGATGATGGTGATGAGGATGATGAGGATGATGAGTATGATGAGGATGAGGATGGTAAGGATGATGAGGATGATGATGAGGATGAGGATGAGGATGATGATCAGAATGCTGATGATGCTGTTGATGATTATGGTGATGGTGATGGTGATGGTGATGGTGATGGTGATGGTGATGGTGATGGTGATGGTGATGGTGATGGTGATGGTGATGGTGATGGTGATGATGATGATGATGATGATGATGATGATGATGATGATGATGATGATGATGATGATGATGATGATGATGATGATGATGATGATGACGATGATGATGATGATGATGATGATGATGATGATGGTAGTGGTGGTGGTGGTGATGATGACGATGATGAGGAGGATGTGGGTGGGTTCCTGTTCCTGTTCCTGAGCGGGGTGTCCAGAGAAAACACGACCCCACTTAGGACGTGGGGAAAAACATTGGAATGCACAGAAGAGTCCCACAGGACGGACGTGGAGCCCGAGGATGTTTCGTCCGGCGATCGCTTCGCCTGAGAGTTCCTGACATCGTGCTCGGGAATCGTGCTCTCGCCTCAATTCCCGCTACGCTTTTGGTCCCGACGGCCAAGATCCCTTTCAAAAAATCGGCGGTGGACAAACCTCCCTTTAGTAAACCTTCCTTTAGTGAAAACGGCCTGGGACCGAAACCGACGGACCTGGACCCGCAAAAATGACGGCCGCGACGCCCTCTCGCGAATCGAAGACGACCAATTCGCTAATCGACGTGTCAGGGTAGGAGGTCTGCCCACCCCCGGAAAAAAACACGCATAAGGGTGCGCATGGCCGTGATCTCGCCGCCTGGCCCCTGTAGCCGATCTCCTTCTCCTCGACCCCTCCCTCCACCTGTGCTGCGAGTAGGGGTGCTTTGCGCGGTGGTACTTCTTCAGTCAGCACACCAGAGAAGAGTCGACAATGGCACGACTCTCGACCTCCTCGCGGCAAAACGGTCCAAGAGGTCCCCAAGAGGGTCCAGAGACGATCCGAGAGGGCGCTAAGACGGCCCAAGAGGACCCCCAAGACGACCAAAGTGCCTTCAGCAGGGCCTCGGAAGGGACCAAGAGAGGCCCATGAGGAGGAGCGCGAAGAGACCCTGGGGAGTCCTCCCCCAAGACGGCCCCAAAGACCTCCAGCATGCCCAAGAGCCCCGAAGGAGGCCTCGGAGGGCCCCTGAAGGCCCCCGGGGGCCCTGAAGAGGCCCCAAGAGGCCGCCTGCGAGGCCCTCGAGAGGCCCGCAAGAAGCCACGCAACAGACTCGGAGGGCAGCAGGGCTGTCAACACTTCCCCCTGGGAATCGAGGATCGGGAGGGATCGAGGATCGAGCAGGTTCTGGACGTCTGGGCCGGCTCTGGAGCTTCTGGAGGGGCGGGTCTGGGGAGGTCCGTTTCCTGCAGAAAAGAATAGGGGAGGAGAACGACTCCCTGGGAACTGCACGCAGGCTGCATGACAGAAACGCGCAAATGATACATACGAAGCCCGAAGCCGCGCGGAGGAAGGAAACGATTCCGTATGAACTGCACGCAGGCCGCACGCCGGAGAACCTGCCGCCCTGCCCACCTGGAGGGCTCAGGGTGGCCCTTCTCCTCCTCCCTCCTCCCTCCCTCCTCCTCCTCCTCCCCCTCCTCCTCCTCCTCCTCCTCCTCCTCCCCCTCCTCCTCCTCCTCCTCCTCCTCCTTATTACTCTTCTTATTCATAGTATTATGATCCGTGCATTCTTAGTATTATGATTAGTAGTATTAGCATTAGCGTTAGTATTCGCATTAATCGTAGGAAAAGTATTGTTAATAATCCGCCGGCCCCCTTGTGGGGCCACCAGGCTGTAGGCGCGGGTTCGCAGTTTCCAGTACCAGTTTTAGCTTGTAGTTTCCAGTGTTACAGTTCTGCTTCTTGCTGGTTACTGTAACTAGTTGACTTCTTGCTGGTTACTGTAACTAGTTGATTGACCGCGCGAGGGGGGGGGAGGCCCAAACAAGACTTTTAGCGTCTCCTGGACGCGTTGTCTGAATTGCTGGGGGGGCTCGAAATCGACACCCCTCACGCAGATCCGCGGGGTCAGGGTCCAAAAACACAGGGGATTTGCCACATTTCTGAAATTCGGTGCCACCCCTCACGCAGATCCGCGGGGTCAGGGTCCAAAAACACAGGGGATTTGCCACATTTCTGAAATTCGGTGCCACCCTTCACGCACATCCATCGCAAGGCGTGGTAACCCAAACTGCGAGAACTCCCTCGGCCCTTTAATCGCAAGGTGTGGTAACCAAGCCCGTAAACCATACACGTCTTACCAATCGCCAGGTGTGGTAACCACTCTTGTGATCAGTTGGTTTTGCTGATTGCGAATCGGCTTCGCATGAAGTTTCGATACTGCTTCACGACAGCGCCAAGGCCTCATGACTTAGCTCTTCCATGGCCCATTCTCCGAGAGAGGGGGCCGGCGGCAGGGGGCGAAGCCCTTACGGATATTAATACTACTGTGGCTACTATTGTTGTACTACTACTACTACTACTACTACTACTACTACTACTACTACTACTACTACTACTAACTCTACTGCTACTACTACTACTACTACTACTACTGCTGCTGCTGCTGCTGCTGCTGCTGCTGCTACTACTACGACTACTACTACTATTCCTCCTCCCCCTCCCTCTCCTCCTCCTCTTCTTATTACTCATCTTGTTTGTTCTTATCATTAGTGGCAGTATTATTATTCATAGTATGACTATTCCGCTTATTATTATGACTCTCATCCGAATTACTATTCTGATCATTGGGGTTATTACTTCCCTTCCTAATTTTTCTTGTTCCTCCTCCTCCTCACAGGCGAAGTCTCACCTGCAGCGAAGCCGTCGGCGCCTTGCACCTTAAGAGCCTGCTTAGCAGCGTCGAGCATGACCGTGCCCAACAGAGTGCTCTGACAGGCATGGCCATGCTCGAAGGCGGGGGTGGTGTGAGCAAGGTCATGCTCATGGTCATGCTCGTCGGTACTCTGGCCGTGGCTGATAGGCATGGTCGTGCTCGTCAGTGCTCTGATAGGCATGGTCAAAGCCCCCCCCGAGGCGTGAGTGGGGGTGGGGGCGGGCTGTCCCGTTGCGAAGAGTGGCCGTGAATCCGACCTGCTCGACGATGGTGCAGGTCTCCCCGAAGAAGAGCACTGAACACAGGACGAGGCCGATAGAGCGCGCCTGCGTCGAGACCTTCGTCACGAGGGCACCCCACGAGCTTCACCAGCCAAAAGGGGGAGACCGCGACAAGTCAGGAGAACGCACGACCGTGCCGCACGACCGCGCCGCTGTACGCGACTCCGGCGAGGGCCTTTTACTCCATGCATCCTGCGAAGACGGTGGCTATGAGGACAAAGCATAGGCTGGAGTGACATTACATATGTGTATATATATGTGTATATGTATGTATATGTATGAATCTTCCGTCGAAGAGGGACGAGTCGTCCATCAGCACCTGGGCGGTGACCATCTTGACGGCGTCGAAATGTATTCGACGAGGGCATGAGAGCCACACCGACAACGAATCTAGCTGCAGTGTCGCCACCAGCCCCAAACAGCATGAGAGCATGCCGTAGAAGCCTCCTGGGCGCTCCTTGGGAGCCTCTCGAAGTCCTCCGGGGGCGTCCGGGTACTTTGAGACTGTCTGGGCGTGTCTTCCGAGAAGAAGGCGTAGCGGGGAGTGCGAGGACAAGACCCGGACGTCGACGGGGAGTCGGGAGCCCCCGATGCCTGGGATAGTGAAGGCCTTCAGATATGAATTATCAGCTGTTTCTGGCGCAACTGAAAAGAGACAACTAAAAATGGACTATGAAAGGCTTCGTGCTGACAACGGTGGAGCAACAAACCAGAAGGCGGCACTGACGCGCACACTTCACAGAGCGAATGCTGCGACGAACCCGACAGGAAGTGTGACACTAATGACCACTGACAACGACACGGGACTGCAAATGGCAATTGCAAATCTTGCAGGGTAAGACAATCATAATCGCTGAATTTGCGCTTGACTGTCAATGACGCCACAGCAGATACGAACTATCACGATCATTGCCAATAGAATGCATGCTTCCGAAAGCCGCAGAACTGATCTTCTCAGGCCGGGAGACGTAGTCCTCCAGATCTACCTCCTCACTCAGATTCATCTTCGAGGTAATGGTCTGGAAGATGAGCCTCTTCTGCCTACGGTCAGGCAGTGGGAACTCGATCTTGCGGTCCTCGCGCAGGGCATAAGATTCGGTACTACCACTTATGCGACACATAGAGTGATACGAACAAATCTCGCGGCCAATGTCCAAGGTGCACCGCGAAGAACGAAATAGAAAACATAATAAACCGCCCAGACACGGAGATGGAGTTCCCGCATCTGTATGTTCAGGCGAATGCGACGACCAGGGACCGACAGAACACGTGACACGTTTGCACGAAAGCGGTCTCGAAAGAACAACTACAGTAGATACTGTGAGGAGAACCTCGCTGTGAAACATCTGGGGTCACTTTCATCGTCGACATTCCAACTTCCCCAAGGTCCCCCAAGGCTTCTGCGGGTCGCTGGGCCATTGGGGGATTAGATCTTTCGTGGGGCACCTGCCTGCCAGCTAGGCTTCTCATTGGATGCGCCTACTGCACTAGCATCGTCAGGCCTCGGAGCGCTGCAGTCTCGCTGCGCCCTGGCGCGATCCTACGCCCCCCTGGAAGCATACTGCAAACCTGGCTTCCATGTCTTGCGACCACCCCACCCCCGCGGGACCCCCGATCTCAGTGTTGAGTCAGCAGCGGCCGACCGCGGAAAAATCGGATGGCGCGGGTTCCCGCGCGAACACTCCAGTTGAGGGGCGCGGGGAGACGGACCGCGCGCGAGTCGCATCCCTTTCCAGGCTGGTGCAGCATCAGCTCGCGCTAAGACTGCCGCCAAGGGCAGGCACGGCTGCGCGGACAGGCTCGGCGACGGGTCGCGCGGGCTGCATCTCTGAGCCGTGAGCAGCAGACGCCCGAGGACATCGGCAGGAAAGAGCGTGCGGCGCCCCCGGGGCGCGGTCGCAGGGCCAAGCCGAACGGCTTACGCGACACGTGTTCACGAGGATTTGACGGTCGGTGCGCGCGAACTGGAGCAGAACCAAGGATTGCAACGAAGGATTGCAAAAAACCTTCGAAGGATTGCAAAAAACCTTCGAAGGTTTTTTGCAATCCTTCGAACCAGGATTTTTTGCAATCCTAGGTTTTTTGCAATCCTTCGAACGAAGGATTGCAACGAAGGGTTGTTTGCAATCCTTCGGTTTTTTGCAATCCTTCGTTCGAGTGGACTCCAGCAAGCTGCAGCCGCCGAGGACCGAGGATGCCGACGAACTCCGTGCGGCAGCCCACGGCCCGCGGGGAAGCGCCTCCGAACTCAGGGGCAGAGCCCTTCTCGCTTTCCAGCGCCGACAAGATCGACCCATGCAATGTAGCATGGGTCGATGTTCCTGGCAGAGAAGGGTCCCGGACCGCTTACCCTGGGACAATCAATTTATCCCGAATCGTTCTCTCCAAGGCTCGACCTGAACAACGCTGCTCGTGTTCGTTGTGGCTCCGTTCTCCCTCGTTCTGGCGTAAGTCCGCCTTTGCTGCAGGACGACATCGAAACGGAAACGGCCCCCCGCGCGCCTGGAGTTCCCTCACCGCTCCCGGGCCGGGGAGGAGCCCGAGGGGAGGCCGGGCGCGGCGGCAAGACACCGCAAGGCCCCTGCCTCCCTCGGGACCCCACCTTCTCTCCGTCTGGGGGGGGGGGGCAGAGCTCGAGCGGCGGCGACCCGTGCGAGCCCCCATGCCCCTCGACGAGCTCTCACACACAGAGCACGAGTGCCTCTCCTCGGGGTCCTTGGACTTCGGTGGCCCTGGAGCTCGAAGGCGGCCCCCTTGGAGGCCGCAGGCGGCACATGGTGCACCGATGCCGGGCCCAGGGTGGGCCTGGCCAGGATTTCGGTGGGGCGGGCTGCTGGCGCCCCCCGACCTGGAGGAGGAGGAGGAGGAGGAGGAGGAGGAGGAGGAGGCGGCGGAGGAGGAGGAGGAGGAGGAGGAGGAGGAGGAGGAGGGGGAGGAGGAGGAGGAGGAGGAGGAGGAGGAGGGGGAGGAGGAGGCGGAGGAGGAGGAGGAGGAGGAGAAGGAGGAGGAGGAGGCGGAGGAGGAGGAGGAGGAGGCACGTGCACCGGTCCTGGGCCCAGGATGGGCCTGGGTCCCTGGGCTACCCGACGCCGCGCACCGCGCCCCGCGCCCCGCGCCCCGCAAGCCGCCGCCCCCGGAGAGGGCGCACCTCTGCGACGCGCTGGCCGCGACGCGCCGGGCGCGGTTGTCTCTGCGCTCCCGCGCGTGCACGGAGAGTGTCCACACAGGTCGCCAGGTGCTCTGGAGCTCACCACGAGGGGGGCGGTCTGATTCTGGCGGGAGGGTATGAGTTGAGCTTACTCGGAGGATCAGGTCGGGCATGTCCCCCCAATCGGATGTTGGGCGAAGAACGAAAAATAGTCCAAGCATACCCCCAAAATGCTCAACAACAATAATAATAGATCGAAAATCGTCCCCTGACTATTTTTGACTATTTTCGAATACTCCTCCTGTAGAGGGACAGGCCCGACTTAATCGGAGGCTTCAAGAGGAGGGGGGCTGGGCAGGAGGCCGCCCCTTTGCATGGCTGATCTTGGAGGGGGGGTCTGTGACTGCTCGTCTGGGAGGGTTGGGACCCCCTCGCCTCCCTGACACGACACGCGGAGTCCCCGGTCGAGCGGCGCGCCGCGTCCGTGAGCGCTTCGCGGCAGCCTCGGTGACCCCCGCCTCGCCGCGTGCTCGCTGCCACGAGGGCCCGCAGGGGGCTCGCATGTTTATGGTGATGGGCCTGCTTTCCACCACCACCACCACCACCGTCAGTTGGAGGGGGGAGGGGGTACTCCTCGCCCTCTTCTCCCCCTCCTCCTCCTCCTCCTCCACCTCCTTCCCCCCTCCAACTTATGGTGGCGATGGTGGAAAGCAAGCCCATCATATGGGGGGGCGCGACGGGGCCGGGGGCGCCGTGCCGCTGGATCGGCCGCGCCGAGGAGAAGTGGCAGCGGAGCGCAGACAGGGCAGCCGGCAACACCGCGAGGCGGGATTCCATCGACGTCCACGGCCTGGGGACCGACGTCCTGGGGGCCCAGCAGGCAGTGAAAATGGACACATATATATTTATATACACACACATCTATGTATATGTATACATAGATATATAGAGAGAGAGAGAGAGATAGAGAGAGAGAGCGAGAGATAAGCCCCCTGGGGCACACGTGTATCCTTATCCACCACCTGCGGAGGTCCGCGAGGATCGGTGCCCCAGGCGACGGTATGGATAGGTCCCCGCCCCCGAATTCAGATCGAATCGATCGACGCGACTGTGAACTGCGGGCCGCGCCAGAACTGCAGGCGTAAGCCAAAACGGCCCAAGGCAGCAACGCATCATGAGGATGCAGGGGGAGGATGCAAGACCTCTGGGCGTCCTTGAGGGTGCACGAGGAGAACAAATTTGGCTAAGGATTCCAGAAAATGATGCAAGGATATCAGTGGAAGCTAGCATCGTCCTCACGATGCACGGCAAGTGTAAGCCAAAAGACGGCGATCCTGCAGTTCCATCTCTTTGAGCAGTTGATATTTGATATGTTTCGAGAATGTGTGCTCCCTCGGCTGGCGTCCGTCAAAGCCTCCGCATGTCCACGCGTGCCTAGGACAGAAATCAAGATGGCTCTGCCAAAGGCCGAAGTCCGCTCGAGCAAAATCCCCGCTCGCACCCTGGTGGTGTCCTGATCAGTCTTCCGAACCAGGCCTACTCGGGGTTCCCAAATGGTGGGGCGGAACGGAACAAAACGCCGACCACGAGCCGCGAGTGCGCCAGGCTGTGTGCCTCAAGGGCTCAGCGGAAATCGGCCAGCCCACCGTGTCAGTCGTCGCCCGCGGGCTCTGTCCCCTTCTGGCATGCAGTCATGCACTCTTCGGGCCCAGCGTTCCGGGAACCTCTCTCCCAACCATTCGCTCCAGCGTTGCGGCCGCGAGCGACGCTCGTCAACCCAATCGGCCAGCCCGAGGACGTCCACTGGGCGTAGGCGGCGAGCCCAGGGGGGAGTAGAGTGGGCAGGCCCTCTCAAAGGCGGCCAGGTTTCTCAGGAGCCCTCGTGCCTCCTGGGAAGCCGTCTCCGTCTTCGGAGAAGGTTCCGAAAACTCCTCGTGAGGCCCAAGGCCTTCCGAGCCTTCTGAGAAGGCCCGACCCCTCTGGGGAGCCCACGAAAAACGTACGCGCCAAGCCACGCACATGAATACGGCCCCCCAGTCCGCGAGACCAGCCTCGTGCTACAAACGCTCGCGCAAAGCGCACCCTCGAAACCAGCGTGGCTTCATGCACGTGTACGCCCTGGGGAAGGAGGAGGAGGAAGAGGAGGAGGAGGAGGAGGAGGAGGAGGAGGAGGAGGAAGCGG